TGGTGCGGGGGCTGTCGGTGCTCTGCAACTTGGCCAACCAGCTCTACTACCCCTGCGAGCACGTCGCGTGGGCGGCTGACGCCGGCATCGTCCGCGTCGGCTCTCAGAAGTGGTGGACGCTGAGCACGGCGCTCTGGGCCTTGGCCCTGCTCCTGGGCATCCTGCGGTAAGGCTGGCTGGGCTGCCGCCCTCTGCGGTGGGAAGGAGCCGGGCAGGGGCTGAACCGTGTTCCCTCTAATCAGGCTGAGTGAAGGACCCTCTCGGCTGCAGGAGGGGGCTCTTCCTCACCGATGCAGTTAACACTAGTGAAAAAGACCCTCCCCTTTGATGCTAGTGGAGAAATAACTCTGCTGTCTGGTTTTCAGATCCCTGAGAATCCTGTTCCAGTTGAGGCAAAAGTTGAGGCAGCACAAGGGGTATGATTTCAGCTGGCTTAATCCAGATATATCTGTTCTCGTTTGTGAGCTGTCGCTCATTGTTGTTACATTACGGGCTATCACTAACGTTACTTTTGCTTCCAACAGCACATCTTCGCCTCTGAGTCGAAAGAAAACGAAAGCTCAAGTGAAGGCTGAAGTTTTGAGCATCCTGACAGACGTGGCAGATCTCTCCAACGCAATCCACTGGCTGCCTCCGGGGTTTCTTTGGGCTGGATGCTTTCCTCCATGGTTAGTAGGTCTCCTGGGGACCATATCTTCCCTGATTGGTATCTACCAGGCATCTAGAGGAGGAAATTCTGAAGCTGTATAAGCCATAATTAAGCTTCAGGGGTCCAGTTTTTACAGTCAGAACACTTTGGTGAGGCAAGGTGTGTTTTAACTGTCTTGGGTGTCGATGGTTGTAATTTCACACGTCCCGTAATTGGGACTGGGGTCAAGATGTCTGTTACAGAGAGGATTGTTCACGGTTAACAATTTTTTATTACCCTTCATCAGAGAAATCTTTCAGGCAAATCCTCTGAAAATGAAGAAATCTCCTAGGATTGGTAAAATAGAGGGGGAGGAAGGTCACTTCCATCCTTCCTCCCTCTGCCCCAGAGGACAAAGGCAACCCTCGGGTCCTCACTGTCCCTTCAGAGAGCACAAAGTCAGCGCTGGGCGGAGAAACGGCCGCGGTTCCGTCACACAAAGCTGCTCCGGGCCGGATCCTGCGAGCCGGAGCTCAGCCCTTGGGGCCTCGTGCGAACCAGGGGCTGACCCGGATCGTGGAAGTTTCTCCCTCGGCTCTTTCGCTGTTGGAGCCCAGCGCGGCTGCTCCCCCCCAGGAGCCAGCGGTGGTGACGGCCGCGGTCCTTCGGAGGTGAGAGGGGACAGAAGGAGCAGTGCCAGCAGTGCCTTGAGCTTCCTTCTCATCCGTGTTGCTCACTGAAGGGGAAATACTGGAAGTTGAGGCTTCCCAGTTAAACCAGAAGCAGCGCTGAGCCCCCAGCTGTGCCTTTACGGAATGCCACCGGGTGGAGGAGCTCTTCCACCAGGCTCTGGCAGCAGCCAACGGACTCTTTTTTTTTCTTTTAAAGGGGAAAAAAAAAAAAAAAGCAGGAAATTTATTAATCACCTTTCAAAGGACCAATGCCAAGATGAGTTTTACAGTTCGATTTCTAGGCGGGGCCGATAATAAACGAGACGAATGCTTCAAAGGTGGCCTTGAGTGATGATTCCTTCTGATAACTGGGCAAATGTCCTTGATTGGGTTCTAGCAAGTTCCCAACAGCACCGAGGCGACAGAAAACTCTTTGTGCTGCCCGAGCTGCAGCTCCCCATCTGGTCCCAGCCTTCCTTCTCCCGAAATAATTCAGAGCACCTGACTAACTGCTGTGGAAATGCAGCTTTTGACAACAATTCTGCTTAGTCGGCGCGGTGCTCCCGCTCCCCGCAGTTCCAGGAGGTTTGACCTCTTGTTCTTTGTCGTTTTTGGCACGGACACGGGCACGACCTCCTGCCCGTGTTCAAAGAGCAGAGCGAGGTCTCGATGCTCTTTATCCTTCGCCCCGTCTTTGCTGTTTCTCTGGAACTTCACCCAGAAGACGCTTCCTGACTGTGCTCAGAACCTGGTGTCAGATTTATAGGTTTTGGTACAACTCAAGGCTTTATCTCATTTTTTTTTTTCTCTGCTTGTGCCCGAGCCGGTGCCGCCCCCA